ACCGGGCGCACCATGTTACTCCAGCTTTAGGCGACACGAGCGAGACCGCCATCTCAAAAAAAAAAAAAAAGAAACACAACAATAGCCCAGTGTGGTGGCCTTCGAGCCGTAGTGGTTCCCAGCTACTTTGGGGACGGCTGAGCATTGAGAAATCACCTTGAACCTGAGAGCGGTGAGAGGCTGCGCGAGGCCGGAGATTGCACTGCTGCACTCGCACACCAGGGTGACGAGGAGACTGTGTCCTCAAAAAAAAAAGAATATTTTTTTTTTTTTTTTTTCCCAAAAAGGGCTTTCATGGAGAAAATCCTTTCGACTGAAGAAAGTGAGGGCTGTAATTTGGAGGTGAAGGCACCCTCTGGGGCTCCTCTTACAGATGTTCTGCTGATTGGGTTCAATTTGACGCCTCAGGGGCCAAGAGGCCTCTTCTTGTGGGTCCAAAAAAACCATCCTGTCTGCGGGCCAGAAGCCGCGCGAGGCTCATGTGGAACCTTGTGATCCGCCCGCCTCGGCCTCCCAAAGTGCTGGGATTACAGGCGTAAGCCACCGCGCCCGGCCTCACTTTTTATCCTCATAAGACTTGTGTGGTTTTTTTCTTTTTGATTATTTAGTTTACGGATAAGCTTGCCAATAAAGGATGGTCTATCTTTTTTTTATTTTATTTTATTTTTTTTCCTGAGACAGGGTCTTGCTTTGTCCCCCAGGCCTGAGTGCAGTGGCACGATCTCAATTCACTGTAACCTCTGCCTCCCTGTTTCAAGTGATTCTCCTGCCTCAACCTCCTGAGTAGCTGGTATTACAGGTGCACGCCACCATGCTTGGCTAATTTTTGTATTTTTAGTGGAGATGGGGTTTCACCATGTTGGCCAGGCTGGTGTACAACTCCTGACCTCAAGTGATCCGTCCACCTCAGCCTTCCAAAGTGCTGGGATTATAGGCGTGAGCCACCCACCTGGCCTATTATTTAATTTAAAATTCTTTTGCTTGTCTGGGCGTGGTGGCTCACGCCTATAATCCCAGAGCTTTGGGAGGCCTAGGCAGGGGGATCCCTTGAGCCCAGGAGTTTGAGACTAGCCTGGGCAAAAAAGCAAGATCCTGTCTCTAAGAAAAAAAAAAATTTTTTTTTGACTGGGTGCAGTGGCTCATGCCTATAATCCTAGCACTTTGGGAGGCGGAGGTGGGTGAATCACTTGAGCTCAGAAGTTTGAGACCAGCCTGAGCAACATGGCAAAACCCCATCTCTACTAAAAATACAAAAATTAGCCAGACGTGGTGGCATGTGCCTGTAGTCCCAGCTACTCAGGAGGCTGAGGTGGGAGGATCTCTTGAACCTGGGAGGTCGAGGCTGCAGTGAGCCAAGATCGCGCCACTGCACTCCAGCCTGGGTGACAAAGTGAGACCCTGTCTCAAAAAAAAATTAAGTGGGCGTGGTGGTATGCACCAGCTACTCAGAGGCTGGGAGGATGTTTGAGCCCAGGAGGTTGAGGCTTTGAGGCTTTAGTGAGCTGTAATCGCCACTGCACTCCAGCCTGGGTGACAGAGCAAGACCCTGTCTCAAAATAAGTAAATAAATAAATAAAATTCGTCTGCTCTGCGAGAGCATTTAAATAATGGGATGGCACACTCAAAATTTGATAAAGTGACGACAAGGCTGCCCTCGGGACAGGAAGCTAAGCCAAGCCCTGACTGGGCTATGGGGTCACTGCAGGAAAACTGTGGAGGGATCATACAGTGCTGGTGCCCCGAGTGGCACCGAGGCCCTTCCAGATGGCGCTACCCCTCTCCAGACTGGTCTCTGTGACAACAGGAAGCTTGGAAATTCCAACCCTGGAGGTTGCAATTCATTAGACCCAGGGAGGGGCCCAGGGATCTGATTTTGAATAAGCTGCCATCTGTTGAGGGTTGAATTATGTCCTCCAAAAAGATAGGTTCCAGTGGTGACTCCCAGGACCTGCCCATGGGAACATATTTGGAAATCAGGTTTTTACAATGGCTTCCCCCTCTCTCAAGTTAAATATTAACTCCAGTAATTCATGCTGGATTAGGGTGGGGCCTGATGAGAAGAGGAAAGGAGACGCAGACACACACAGGGACAATGGCATGAGGGAGGCAACCCCCGGACACCAGGACAGGAGCGAGGAGCAGGTGCTCCCGCAGGGCCTTCGGAGGACCCAGCCCTGCGTACTCTCTTAGAATTCAGCTTCCAGCACTGTCAGAGAATGTGTTGCTGTTGTCTTTTGGTTATCTTTTGTCTTTCGCTTTTTTTTTTTGAGACAGAGTCTTGCTCTGTTGCTCAGGTTGGAGTACAGTGGCACGATCTCAGCTCACTGCAACCTCTGCCTTCCGGGTTCAAAGGATTCTCGTGCTTCAGCCTCCTGAGTAGCTGGTATTAGAGGCATGCGCCACCACACCTGGCTGATTTTTGCCTTTTTAGTAGAGACAGGGTTTCCCCATGTTGGCCATGCTGGTCTGGAATGCCTGACCTTTGGTGATCCACTCACCTAAGCCTCCCAAGCTACTGGGATTATGGGCCTGAGCCATCACACCTGGCCTTGTTTGTTTTTGTTTTTGTTTTTGTTTTGATAGAGTCTCACTCTGTCTTCCAGGCTGCAGTGCAGTAGTGTAATCCAGGCTCACTCCAACCTCTGCCTCCCGGGTTCAAGTGAATCTCCTGCCTCAGCCTCCTGAGTAGCTGGGGTTACAGGTGCCTGCCACCATGTCTGGCTAATTTTTTTTTTTTTTTTTGTATTTTTAGTAGAAATGGAGTTTCACCATGTTGGCCAGGCTGGTCTTGAACTCCTGACCTCAAGTGATCCGCCCACCTCGGCCTCCCAAAGTGCTAGGATTATAGGCGTGAGCCACCGCGCCCAGCCTCCTGTGTGTCCTTTGGAGTGTAGGCTCAGCCAGAATAAAAATCCCCTATATCCTTAACCTTCCAACCAACACCTTCCATCCTCTACATCTAATGGAAACCAGATCCCTCCTTCCTACAGCACTGTCTACCCCTTCAACTGTCCCAGGCAATGTGGATCCCGGCAGCCTTCATGGCATGGAGCTGGGACAAAGGGGGACAACATCTTCTTGACATTTCGCCTTCCCTAAACTTTTCTCCCCTCTCCTTACTAAACAGCAGCTATTTCTTCAGATACATTCCACTCTGCCTTCTGGATTACAATTATCTACCAACACCTATACCTCCTTGAAGATGCCTGTCGGTGGTTCCTACCATGTTTAATGCTACACTTGCAGAATTCTTGGGGATTTCAAAATACATAGCCACAGTGGCTCACACCTGTAACCCCCGCACTTTAGGAGGCTGAGGAGGGAGGGTTGCTTGAGGCCAGGAGTTCAAGACCAGCCTGGGCAAAATAGGAAGACCCAATCACTACAAAAAAAATTGAAATATTAGGCCGGGCAGGGTGGCTCATGCCTGTAATCCCAGCACTTTGGGAGGCTGAGGCGGGCAGACTTGCGCTTGAGTTTGAGACGAGCCTGGCCAACAGAGGAAAATCCTGTCTCTACAAAAAATACAAAAATTAGCTGGGTATGGTGGCACGAGCCTGTAGTCCCAGCTACTTGGGAGGCTGAGGCATGAGAATCACTTGAACCTGAGAGGTGGAGGCTGCAGCGAGCCGAGATTGCACTGCTGCACTCCAACCGGGGTGACAGAGACTGTGTCTCAAAAAAAAAAAGAATACTTTTTTTTTTTTCCCAAACAGGCTTTCATGGAGAAATCTTCGACTTGAAGAAAGTGAAGGTGTATTTGGAGGTGAAGGCACCCTCTGGGGCATCCTCTTACAGATGTCTCTGCTGATTGGTCAATTTGACCCTCAGGGCCAAGAGGCCTTCTCTTCGTGGTCCAAAAACCATCGTGGGGCCAGAAGCCAGCCTCATGTGGGGAAGTGGGAGTCCAGGGCTGACATGTCATCACCCTTTCTTTTTGCTCCCTTTGTGAAGGGAAATGATCTTGACCTATAAAAGTGGAAAGAAAAAAGCTGCTCTCTCTTCATTTCCATTTCAGTCTTCATTAATAGAAGCTTGATTTGCATAAGTTCACAGACAGGAACCATTTTTAAAGTACACTGTACTGGGGACATTCACTTTTTATTTTTTTCTTTTTTTGAGATGGAGTCTCGCTCTGTTGCCCAGGCTGGAGTGCGGTGGCACGATCTGAGTTCACTGCAACATCTGCCTCTTGGGTTCAAGCAGTTCTCCTGCCTCAGCCTCCCGAGTAGCTGGGATTACAGGCGTGTGCCACCACGCCCGGCTAATTTTTTGTATTTTGTGCGCACTGTATTCCACCTCGGGTACATTGCAAGCATGGCCGGGCACGGTGGTCACGCGCCTGTAATTCCCAGCATTTTTGTTGGGAGGCTTGAGGTGGGCATTTCACGAGGCGTGGTCAAGGGTAGGATCGAGACACCTGGCCAAGTGGTGTGAAACCCATCTTGGCCCGGGCGCGGTGGCATCAAGCCTGTGAAATTCCCGCACGCTTTGGGAGGCTGGGAAGGCGTGGTGGATGCACGATGGTCAGGATCGATCGTAGGGACTATCCTGTTGCAAGCCTGGTGAAACCGGTACTCCTACCTAACAAGATACCACAGCCGGGCTCGTGGGTGGGCTGGGCGCCTGTAGTCCCGGCTACTCGGACTGGGAGAGATGGCGAAGCGAGCGGAGCTGCAGGAGCGAAGGGCCGACCCCAGCCGGGGCCAGGGCGAGACTCCGTTTCATAAAAAAAAAGAGAAAAAAGCAAAAGTAGGCTCTATTGAAAGTACACAAAATTGCTGGCGCGTGTGGTGGCATGTGCCTTATAGGTCCTCAGTATCGTAAGGAAGGCTGATGCATGGACGTCCCTTGAACGTGGGTGAGGTGGAGCTTGCGTGGAGCTGATGATTGCACAGCTGCCACTCCAGCCTGGACGACAGAGGGCGAGACTCCGATCTCAAGAAAAAAAAGAAAGTTAAAATTAAGTATTAGCTGGGCCTGGTGATGGCATGTGGGCCTGTGAGTCTACTAAGGTACTTGTGGGAGGGTGAGGGCAGGCCGATTGCTTAAGCTGGGGCAGTCTGGCCGTGAGTGTGTGATTTGTGCACTGCGAGCGTTTAGCCTTGGTGAGCAGAGGCAACCGACCCCGTGTACGTGGTTGGCGTTCTAAAGCAAGGAATGGGAAAAAAACACTGAAAAGCCGACTACACCAGTAAGATCGTCTTTCAAATATCCTGAAGTCCTCAGGTCGCTTCACTTGTGTGGCCAGCTTTCCACTCCGCTGAAGCTGTTTCAGCGTTGATATATGCCATCTCCGGCGTGCACTTTATTTAGCCATCCTTCAGGGGCAAGGCTTGGAGCCATTTTTTTTTTTTTTTTTTGCAGAGTCTCTCTCTGATTGCCAGGTCTGGTGGCAGTGGTGGATCTTGGCTCACCTGCAACTCACTG